GTATCTCCAAATGAGCATCCATTAACTATCTTAGTTAATGACGTGAAGCTATGTACCTACTCCTTTTTAGGTCAAGAGTCAAGAATGGAATATTAGAAGATGTTGGAGAACTAACTGTGATTCAAAGCACTATTTATGTCACAAAACCCTTGTCCTAATTCAGTAAATGTTAGCACTAAAATAAATCCTCCTTCCTTTTTCTTGTCCTGACTTAGGGCACAATCCTAACTAGCCAGACTGACCTTAGGCTGGCTGAACTAGACTCTCACAATTAAGAGGGAGATGCCTGTTAAAGGTGCAGTGTGCTATTTCCCCCAAATACAAGTCTTTTCTGCAGCTGCCATGAAACCACTGCAACACCAGTTTGCGCTGTAGATGGCTATGCCCCTCCTAGTGCATCTGGTGCAGTCAAGAGGCCCCCATGACATCTGCCTTTCATTTAAACGTCCACCCACCCCATTGTCTGAGAGCACCACAAGAGGCAGCCAAAGAAACCTTCTGTTTAATGATCTATATGATGGCCTCACATTACTCCCTCTTCCCCCTGCCCTAGCTCATGATTAGTGGCAAGGTTAGTGACTAGAGCTGTGTAAAGTTATACTTCAGGCAAGAATTCTTAGGCGCTGCTTTCCAGGGATCCTATAGTCTGCTGTCCATCTGACACAACTCTACACAATTCTACACAACTCTACACGGCCTGGCCCTTTCACTGGCCATCTTCCTGCTCTCCTTCCTGGTTGGGTAATGTTGAGTTTACATTTGGACTCTCCCTTCTGCTTTTACTCATGATTGGGCAGCTTGGGCCCCTTCTACAATACTAAATTTGTGGCTTATGATTGGAGGGCCAGCTTGAATCCCTACCCCTTTCAATCCCCCTGCCCCTTTCCTCCTGGTTCATGATTGGGGGGGGGGATTTGAATCCCTCCCCCCCTCGCCTCTTGGCTCATGATTGGTGGGCCCAGCTTGTATCCACCCCAGTGATATCTTGCCTCCCCCCTCCCTCTTGTCTGATGATTAAGGCACCAGCCTGTATCCATGCCAGTGTCTTCCCAGCCCCCTCACCCTTATGAGTCATGCCATTCACACAGCTCATGATTTGCAAACCATCCATTCCTTCCCACCCTTCCCATCATTATCAATGAAAAAAGGGTTTGTGTCTCTCCCTTTTTCCTGCAATATCCTTCCCTAGGAGCACAGCCCTGAGCTACCTTGTCTAATAAAGAAACTTGACTCAGAGTTGTTGTATATAGCATTTTATTGAGCAGATATCTCTCCTCAGAAGCAACCCTGTATCTTAGACAATGAGTAGACAGACAGCAGAGAGACAAGTGCAAAGTGCTTTTGTGTAGCTGTGCTACAGCTGATGCGTAGCTGTCTGACCAGACCAGCTGCAGGACTCGGGCAGTTCAGTGGCTGCAGTCACACATGGCTGGGTGCTTTTGGAGCTTCACCTGTAGCACAGCTGGCTGTTGATTCCAAATCCAGATCAAGGTGAGTGTACCGGTGAAAGCCATCCTTGAGCCTTGTCAGGAATTCATTTGGGGATTCTGTGGTTTTTGGGGTTTTTTTAAACAATCTCATATATTCTCTGAAGGTTTCACTCCTAGTCCTTTGGCACTCATAGTTTGAGACCATGAATTACAGCATGTGCACAAGTGTGACAGGGCCCTCTGCAAGCATGACATGGCCCTCTGCAAGCATCCCCCTGCCCCCCAACCGGTCTGCACACGGAACCCACAACCCCAAAACGGTCTGCAGTCCCAAAAAGGTTGGCGACCGCTGCTCCAGCTAACATTAAAGGCTTCTGAGTGCTTTTATTTCAGACTCTGGGTGCTCTCTTTCTTCAACATTAGAATGAGCATCTGTCCTTGCATTTTTTGGAGGGAGGGCAGTATTTTGTTTACCAAGCAAGAAATAGTAATATGGCAGTCTTTTGCATCACAAAATGACCTATGTGGTCACTCCCATCCGTTACATCCAAATGCTGCTGCTATGTTGTTGTTCTAGAGGTACTTGTTGAACTAATCTGTGTAGTCTGGATAAAACAAAAGTTTAAGTAGCTTCATGGCTTATGATACATATTGGAGAAACTGCTCATGTTGCTGCAGTTTCCTGCAAAGTAGTTGCTTGCTGTTGCTCCAGCCTCTCTGCTAATTTGCTGTTGGGAAGTAGTTGACAGAAAGCATAGAAGCAAGGATCAAGGCAGAAGAGAAAACTGAATGGAGGAGGGAGATTCTCTCCAACTTTATAGAACCAAGAGAATAAACAGCTGAGCAAATGGATCAATAGACGGGAGAAAATACCTCCTTGTTCCATGGCTACAGAAAAGTCTTAGAACACATATTCTTATCCATGCCTAGTTAGAGCTCTACCTAGAGGACATATCTATATATGGGTCTACTCATTGGAGACTGTGATTAATGTGTACTGTATATAGGACTGCAGCGTTAAATGGATTTTCATAGTAATTCCATTTCCAAAGCAAAGTCTGGGAATGGTAGTTCCTCCTTTGCAGAGACCAAAAGATCTCCAAAACAGAATTGTTAGGATCCATATCACGATCTCTTCTCAGGGGCCATGGGAATTAAAGAGATATAAAACTGATATAAGTTTCTTATGCAGACAAATATGTCACAATGCTAGAGTAATAGAAAAAGTGGAAAAAAAGAAGACTGACATTTGTGTGGGGAGGAAGAACAGTGTGTGTCTGTGTGTGAAGTTTCTGAATTAGTGTATTCGTGAAGGCTTTCACGGCCGGGATCTAATGGTTGTTGTGGGTTTTTCAGGTTCTTTGGCTGTGTTCTGAAGGTTATTCTTCCTAACGTTTCACCAGTCTCTGTGGCCGGCATCTTCAGAGGACAGCACTCTGTGCTCTGGTGCAGTTGGCTTTGGAATTAGATTGTAGCTGTAGATCTAGCAATCTGATTTCTGAATTAGACTGCTAGATCTACAGTGAATGATTTCTCTTTCCAATTGCAGGGCTAGTGGAGCTCCTAAACCGGGTCCAGAACACCAGAGTCAATGACCAGCGTGGGCTATTGTCCAAAGAGGATCTAGTACTGCCAGACTTCCTCCAGGTGCCTGAACAAAGTGGCATTTCTTGCCCAGACCACTCTTCACCCAGCTTGGACCAAGAGAAGGAATGCACACCTAAGGTCCCAGTTGCAGATTCTGCCACTCGGTCTCTGGAACAGTCACAACAATCCCAGGCTGTTCCTGTTTTGAAGATGCAAACACAAAGTCCGTCATCACCATCATTGCCATCATCATCATCATCATTGGGTACTGCTGGAAAACCTTCAGCTATGTGATCTATGCCAAGAACCTGCCCCCATCCTGGCTCTTTCTAAGACGTCTTCTCTGCCTCTTCCTTGGCAGAGCTTTGAAAACTTATTTTTGGGCCCTCAATCCATAGAAACCCTCATCCACACTGGCTGGGGGAATTCTGGGAGTTGTAGTCTTAAAAAATAACATTTTGTCCATGCATGGAGGCGAGATCATTTGTATTCATTGTCTATTATATCCTATCATGACTTGCCTCACACAAGACTTCTCTTCTGGTTTAAGAATGTGGCTTAAGGCCCAGCAAGGGCTCACATACAGCTCTAGGGAACAATCATCTCCCTGCCCTGCTGCTGCCTGTCTTCCAAGAATGGACATGGGTTCTCCCAGTGTTTCAGAAATCTTTCCACCCCCTCCCACCTTGACACTGCCCGTACTGGACAGAGCAGAATATGACCAGTGTTGCTCATTTGCTAAACCAGACTATTGTAAGGTGTTGCTTTGTGTTGTAAAACAACTGCCCGTGACTGCTCCAGTGGCAACCAGCACCCCTGTCGCTAGTGGTATGATGATGCCTGCCCTGTATATAGTTTGTAATTTTCAGTATTTGTAAAATGTAAGATACACTGTGGATTAAATCGTGTCTCTGTGTGTTTGTGCATTTGCTGCCATTGGTAGAGTATGAGAAAGACGGGAACATTTCTATCCATGCAGTGAGATTCAAGAACTGTGAGGACAGATCTGTTTTCTCACTTTGCAAGGTCCCTACCATCCAGAGCCAAATCATCTATTAGCCAAATCATCCTGTTAGGCAGAGTGAGGTAACCAACTCAGGCAAAATATTTTGGGTGCTAAAGGTATTTTTTTGACTCAAGTAGGAGAAATTATAATAATGATAATGATAATGATAGTTGTTGTTGTTGTTGTTGTTGTTGTTGTTGTTGTTATTATTATTATTATTATTATTATTATTATTATTATTATTATTATTATTATTATTATTATTATTATTATTATTATTATTAAACACCAGGCACAGTCAATCAAAATTATAAAAACATTGACTGGTATCATACAGTGGGTCCCCAACGGTTTTGACACCAGGGACCGGTTTAGTTGATGACCATTCTCCCAAGGATGGAGGGGGGGGTGTTACTTGTTATTCAATAGGTTGTTGGCAATGCGTTACGGGTGGTGGTGGGGCTCCGCTCTTCCCCTGCCTGTGTCGTTGCTCTCAAGGAGGCCATGCCATCCCGTTTGTTCCAACCGAGGATCAGATACACAGCTAACCTTTTTCCAGCTGGTCTGCCGGGTATGTAGGAGCAAAGGAAAAAGAGAAGAGGGTTGGGAGGGGGAAGGCTGATCAGGAAGCAGGGGCTGCGTTGCCCGCCGGGTCTTCTGCCAGCGAGCCCTTCCCGGGACGGCTCCAGCGCGCGCCGGTACCTTCTCCAGGGCAGGGGGGCAGGAGGAGTCCCTGCTGGGACTTTGGCCATTTAATCACTAGGACCCTAGTCTATTTCCAGGAGCCCCAGGAAAGAATGCATTTTGTTTATCTGTCTATTGCACCTATTAGCTCACCTTTCCTCCCGGAAGCTCCCGGCAAGTAGTTCTTACAATAACCGTGTGAGTTAGAGCCATGTTTAGAGAAGATGAGTGACCCAAGATTTCCGAGTGGCGATTTGAATTCTGCGGACGCATCCAGTTACGTGTGGCGCCAATATACACACATCGCTGTGGCAATCGCCAAACCCGCACGGGATAGCCACTGGTGGATCCTGTCGTGTGTGTCTCTGTCTGGTGAGACCTCGTCCCGCTTCCACCACCACGAAAGAGTGGAAGTATGCTCTGAGGAGAGGCAAATACTATATGTTTTTAAAAAAAAAGGGGGGGGAGAGATTTTGGAAACCCTAGTTTTCGGCTGACGCATTAGCCCTCATCCCCACCTCACAGACGGGTCAGGATCATCAGCCGCCTACACCCTGCGACATCTGTTAAGCCTTTGGGAGTCAAGCCTTTCTATTTGGAGAAGAAAGAAAGGGCCAACGAGCGGGGTGGAAAGGAGTTATTCAGCATCTCTAAGCGCGGAAGAACCACCTCCGTCCTCTCTCCGCTCAGCCTCACGACTCAACTGCCTGCTGCGAATCGAGGGTCGGAGCCGCCGCCTCGCATGCTAAGCAAGGCGGAGGCGGCGGCGGCGGCTTCCCCATTGGCTGCCCCTGACCGCAAGTGCCAGCCCCTCACCACCTGAATGAGAGCGGGGAGGTGGCGGGAGTTGGGGGGGGGAGAGAAGAAGCAGTGCAGGCTCCGATCTCGGACGGCAGGAGCCCCCGCTAGCCGCAGCGACATACAGCCCTCCAGCCAGGTAGGCAGCCAGCCAAGGCGAGCTGGCCTTCTTGGGGGGTGGGGGGCGACAGGCAGCAGCAGCAGCAGCAAGAACCCTAGTGCCTACGTTGAAGGAGGAGGGGTCATTCATTAAGACATTCGTCCGTCCGTTCACGGCGTGGAGGGGGGGTGTCTCTCACTGTGCAGAGTTACTGCACTCACGTCCGTGGCTAAACCTTGCTAGGGGGCGCTGTACTCGCCAGGAGTAGAGTCGCCTGCAAATCTTTCCCGGGGGTGACGACGGCGAGCGTTTCCTCCCTTCAGCGCTAGGGGGCGCTACGGGACAGCGACGGGGGCGTGGGTGGCCTTGCTCCTCCGTAGCGGCCGCTTCGATGTTGGTGCCGCCGACTGGATGTTGGTTTTCGTTTTTCCTGTTGGAAAAAAACCCCTGGTGGGGTTTGCTTGGATGGGCCCCAGTCCCGTAACTCCCACCCACGAGGGGAGGTCCCGTCTCTGTGGAGGAGTCCTAAAACTTGGGTTGTTTTAGCCAACAGACCTTGGGCGACCAAAAAGGAGAACAGTCCCAAATCCTGCCTTCCGAAATGGAGTTGACCTTTGCTTTGCCCTGCCTGGGCTACATTCTGACGAGCATTCTTGACACGCCTTCTGTGTTGTCTAGAAACGGTGCTTAAAGGGGACAGGGTTAGCCTCTTGTGGATAAGTTCGGTTCTCTCCGGAACACCTCTGGGGGGAAGAGAGGCTGTGTGTGAGGAGATACGCACAGCCGTATTAGTACCGCGGAGGCGCCCGTCCAGGGACCAGGCATTTGAGCGGGAGACTAGTTTCTCTCTCCCCTTCCCGCGCCCCGCCCCGCGCCCGCCCCCGATGTGAGAGAGATCTTCGGCAAAGCCTAATTCATGGTTTGTAGCTGGGTTTTGGAGCGAGGAAGCGGGCCGGAGAGCTCCCTCCTCACCTCGGAGCTCCCTGAAAATGAGACGGGAGAGAGGAGGCTTCCATGCCTGGCCCGCATTACATTTTCAAGAGGGGAAAATAGTTGCTCTTGTGAGCACTTGGTTTTGACTAGCCATTTCAGTGTCTTTTCCTTTGAGGAGACCAGGCGCCCACAGGGGAACGTCTCCTCCCAGAACTAGAAATCAAGAGCCATTCGGGGACAGAGTGTCCCAGACCCTTTAATGCAAGTCGGTAAAACAGTGGGAAAACGCAGGGGGCTCACAAGGTGGAAGAGGACCTCCACCGCTTCACCAACCTGAGCTGAAAAACACCTTTACAGGTAGGGAGAAGGGACTGGGAAGGCAGCGGCTGTGGCCATGGTGTGAGGGAGATGAGGAAAAGTACAGAAAACAGGGTGTCTTGCTTTGTCTTTGTGGAGGAGGAGACTTCAGTGACAGCAATAGGATCCTTGTGACAGGGGCCAGGCAGGAAAGCAGAGAAACAGACTCTTTGCAGTGATTTCCAAAAATCTTCTATATAGTATACTGTACTGTAGGTAGGCAACTCCAGGGCTATGAAAAGTGAGGTACTCACTCAAGTACCAGGATGTAGGGACTGGCTAATTTTACTACTCTCTCGGTAGGGCCGGGCTAGCCTCCCGTCTATGCTTCAATCTACTGTACCCCCTGACACCCCCTTTTCTCCCTGCTTGCCTGTTTTTTGTGTGTCCACACAAGTGGGCAGGATGGGCACTTGGTCTCTGCAATGAGAGCAGTGATCAGCAGTGGGCAGTTGGTAACAATGAGAAGAAGGGCAACAGAGAGAGCGGTGGCAAATACACATGCGCACCTGGAAGGATGGGGAAGGAGTGGCATTTTCTGCTTCAGGTGGTAGGAGAGATTGGGTTACCATGGGGCAGAAGGAAGGAGTTGCCACCAGATGGCTGGAGCAGTGATGTGAAGGGGGCATCTGTAGTTAAACCACTCCCAGCCATTCTGCTCTGCTGGTAAACAGAGCGGTGTGTTTTAGTCAACTTGCTCTGGGCCCTGAAACTCATCCTGATGTCCTCCAGTGAGATGAAAGATGTTGCCATCAGCCCTGTGGAAAAGAGATTAAACTACTAGCCAAGTTAGCCTTTTTAAAGGAATAATTTTTTTATACTGATAGAATGATGAAAAAAAAGTAAAGGAACAGGGAGGTGTGGGAGAAAAAAATAAAGCCACAATTCAGTGGGATTTCCCTGAGGATCAAGAAATCACAAGGTTAACACATGAATTAAGCTACCCATATGTCTGCAAACAAGAGGTGACTCTACACATGGACCTCACCAGATGGGCAATACCGAAATCAGATTGATTATGTTCTCTGCAGCCGAAGATAGAGAAGCTCTATACAGTCAGCAAAAACAACACCTGGAGCTGATTGTGGCTCTGATCATCAGCTTCTCATAGCAAAACTCAAGCTTAAACTGAAGAAAGTAGGAAAAACCACTAGGCTAGTCGGGTATAATCTTCTAAACCACATCCCTTATGAGTACACAGTGGAAGTGAAGAACAAATTTATGGAACTAGATTTGGTGGACAGAATGCCAGAAGAACTATGGATGGAGGCTCATAACATTGTACAGGAGGCAGCAACAAAAATCATCCCAAAGAAAAGGAAATACAAGAAAGCAAAGTGTAGCAGAGAAGGGAAACAAAATGCAAGGAAGATAAGAAAAGTTACAGAAAATGGAATGCAGACTTCCAAAGAATAGCAAGGAGACACAAGAGGGCCTTCTTAAATGAACAGTGCAAAGAAATAGAGGAAAATAATAGAAGAGAAATACCAAGATCTGTTCAAGACAACTGGAGATAGGAAAGGAACATTTTGATAAAGGACAAAAAATGGTAGACAAAAATTGAAGACAGGTGGACCTGGCATGCTCTGGTCTAGGGGGTCACGAAGAGTCGGACACGACTTAATGACTAAACAACAACAGCATGTCTGCAAAATGTCCAAATGGAAATGACAGCTATAGGATATACATCTGCATGTAAGATAGGACTAACACAAACACAGACAGGGAGCCTAATAAATATTTAAAGGGATCATAACCCTTATCTTCTAATGTAGAAGAAGCCTCACTGTCCAGGAAGCAGCAGAAGATGTGCATTGGTGAGACAGTAGCCACCTTGTGTTCAGTGCAAAAACATGCTGCCATTTCTCATTTGTTGCAGGAGATGCAGGCAAACTTCCTGTAGATGTTTGGGTAGGGTAGCAATTTTTGTTTGTTTTAGTGAGTGGTAGTCGGCTCCAGCACTCAAATTGCAAAAAAAAAAAAAAAAAAAAAGGAAGAGCACATTGGAGGCGGTTGTCATGGTTATGAAACCCCATAAGATAACCTATGTCTGCACACCTGCTTGAGGAAACATTACAGAAGGAAAACTTCAACCTCTCATCACAAAACTATTTTTGGAAAGGGATGATTCTTATGACAATACAAAGCGCCACCTTGTAAACACAAAAAGATACCCACATTTTTGCTTTGTTCTAAGGTGTAAGCTGCAAATTGTCTGGAGTCATGAGTTACCCCACCCCAGAGCCAAAAATAAGAAACACTTCATCCTGCTAAAACTCAGGGCTGATGTTCCTACAGGAAACATTCATGCAGGCTTCGGATCTTCGTGTCATGAGTCCTTGCCAAAGCTTCTCCCTCACTCTGGCTACTGGGGGAGGAGAATCTGGTGGTGATTCATCTGTCTGTGCTTCTAATTGCCCAGCATTTTCCTCAGCTGTAATTAACCCCTCAGATTCCAGATCTTCTTTGGTTGAATTCATGACAGCCGCCCCCACCAGAGCACCCAGGAGGATCAAGCCTCCTGGCTCTGGGCTACCCCCACCACATCCCTTTCCCTAACTGTTGGGGAGAAAGAGCTACAAAGAAGCAGCCTCTTCGCCATCAACAGTTAGTACAGTAAATTCAAATTTCCTGCCCTTTCCCCCTGCCTTTTTGTGTTCGTAAGTTGATGCTCAGTTCGCAAGTCAAAGCAAAATTTTGTGAATGGAGCGGTTCGTAAGTCGAAATGTTTGTAGGTAGGGACGTTCGTAAGTCGAGGTTCCACTATATAAGTAATAAAATTAATGTAACTAATAAAGTGTATATTATTGTTTATTCTATGTGTATCTACTTGTACCTCTAAGAAACTGAGTTTAATTGCTTAAGGCACAGGTCCCCAACCCCCGTCCATGGCCCAGTGCCAGTCCATGGCCTGAGCTCGACTGGGCTGTGGAGACAGACCTCCCCCGACCCCCGCATGCATTTTCCCCCACCCATCCCATTTGCGCCTGAATATGTGCCTGCACCCACATAAGCACTCCCCACCCCTTCATGCATGTGCACGAGTGCCCCCTGAGCACTGTGCCACCCTTTGCACATGTGCACATATCTGCACAAGCACCCCCACTCCTTTGCGCATGTGCACAAGCATGCATGCACCGTGCAAGAGCACCTACACTCTTTCACACATACGCACAAGCGCAGGGGGGTGCCCCGCCTTTCCCAGCCGGCCCATGAGGCTAAAAAGGTTGGGGACCGCTGCCTTAAGGGTATTAAATTGTAGTAGTTGTTATCTGCTGTCATGTTCTTCTGTTGTCATGATTTTTGTCTTCATAAAATTCAGCTATAATCCTGCTTTGGCACTTTCTTCTTTCACTAAAAGTCCTTTCAATTTATTGATGCTTTCTGCCAATCTTATGTCATCTGCATATCTTAAATTAATGTTTCTTCCACCAGTATTCAGTCCTCCTTCATCTAAATCTAGTCTGGCTTTCTGTATGATGTGGTCTGTGCACAGACTGGACAGATAAATGGATTAAATGCACCTTATTAGACATTTTTGCCTATAGGAAACCATTTTGTCTCTACATATTCTGTCCTAAATGATAGTTTCTTGTCAACAATATAGATTAGGCCTCAGGACAATGTGTTGAGGCACACCCATTTCTTTCAGAACAATCCATAGTTTCTCATGATTCATAGTCTATAAAGTTTAGACTGATCTTCTGAAACCCTTTGGTGCACTCCAGTAGCCAGCAGATATTTGCAATACAATCTCATGAGTACCTCTCCCTTTTCAAAATCCAGCTTAAACATCAGGTACTTCTCACTCTATATAAGGTGAAAACCTTTGCTGCAACAATGTGAGCATCACATTGTTTGCATGGGAAATGCAGTGGTCTTATAGTCTACATGACATTCACTGAAAAACTACATTCAGGATTCTGACCCTTTTTTTCACCCTTTATTTTTGCTTTTCATTTGTCTTTTATAATTTTAACTCTTTCTTCTGTCACCTGTCTAAGTTTTTCTTTTCTTTTTACTACATGTATTGTATTTTTACATTCTTCCTGAATAATATCTGTTTTCAATACACAGTTCTTCTGGCTCATGGTCAATTGAGTTTAGTAATGCAAATCTGTTACTTATGTGGACTTTAAATTCATCACAAATGTTGTTTGAATTGTATATTGGTGCTACAATTCTTTTAGTGTTCTTTTTCAGCTTCCTTTAATGTTTGATATTTATAGTTCATGATAAGTACCACATTCTGTTCTCAGTCTTGTTTTCGTTGAGAGAAAATAGCTTCTCCGTCTCCTGCTTCCAATTACATGGTCAATACAAAAATCAAATAGACTGTCTGGTGATATCCATGTGGTATGATCATCTATTTGGTTTTTTGAAGCATGTATTTGCTGAAATGAAAATGTCAGGCCATTATGTTAAGTATTTGGACATGGCCTGTTGCAGTGGCCATGCCCAAATGTTTGACACAGTAGCCAAACATTGTGTGCCTTTCTACCGTCCACCCTATCTCTTATGTTAAAGAGATAAGGTGGGCCCATTGTACTTGCCTCGCCTCTCATGATTCAGATGTAGACTGCCATGATATGAGATCTTGCCGTACTGAAGTGGCTCCTACTCTATGAAGAGCACATTTCCCTCATTTTATGTGTCTTTCTGGTTCCTTAGGAACAATCCGGCTCCCCTCAGAAGCAAGGAGTGAAAGCTCGATCTAAATCTACAGAAGAGATCCAACCTGCCAAGAAGGTAACTGTGCTAGACTAGACCCACCAGGGTGAGGAGCCCACAGTGCGTGGTGAGATTCACAAGGGATCTCCTGGAGGGCTGTGAGAGCACAGGCATTTTAGTGAGGGAATGCCAAGAGGAAGCGGGGGTGGGTGAGTGGGCAGACTGAGGGCAAAATGAGTGGACAGTTTATGGATCCAGTCACCAGGAGTCCAGCCTATTAATAAATCTGCTCTTTCAGTTCACAGAGAATGTGACTTCTCCATCCCTTGCCTTGCTTGTCTTGCAAGCTGCATTACAGCTTTTCCATGAATGTTTACTCTTCCCACTGGCAGGAGAATCCCAGATTGTGAATCCATTCATTCAGGATCTCATTATCAGTGTGCCCTTGCCAGATAGCTAGGAGAATCCTTAGCCCTCTTTAGGCAACTTATTCATTTTACACTGGAATAGACAACAACATGCTTTCCAGATATTTTTTGACTGAAACCCCTTCCACTCATAACCAGTGAGGAGGAGGCCTGTATTTAGTGGTGCTTCCTTGCGGCATATCTGGGGAGCTGGTAAGACCTTAGCTCAGTGTATGAAGAATTTCAAGGGCAGAAGATCGATAATTCAGAGTCCTCTGTGGTTACTGTTTGAATGGGGAATCCAGTTTGATTCCCTATAACCTGAAAACCTTAACCCTCTTTTCTCTGAGACATGGAAAGGTAAACAGCCACAGGTCTGTTTTTAGAGCATGGCCACTGCATGTAGAAAGATTGATCTCCAACATTTCTGTTTAGAGGGATGACAGAGCCGATGAAAGGAAGCCACTCTTCAGTAATACTCTTAGAACTACAGAGCTGCAAGGGCCCTTATGGATCATCAGGTTCAGCCCCTGACAAGGAGGCACAACGGGGAAGTGAACTCCCAGCTTCTGGTTTCTTATGCCCTGAGCTGATACAAGGCAGATTTGCCAATCCCATTTTATTTTATTTTATTTATGTGCCACCTTTCTCCCAATAAAGGGACTATTTATTTGCCTTTGATAGGATGTTAATTTATTGGGAGAGGAGAGGTCTTCATTCAAGCTGGCTTTCTTGAGAGAAGCTCTCTCCGTGTCTTTTACACCTTGGTCTCACATTCAGATCAGCCCCTTAAGAATCCTGAAGTGTGGTGTTATGTCCTTGGATCATGGCCCATAGTACAGTTGAAGGTTGGGGCATTGTAACTGAGTCATCAGAGGTACTAGTCCAGACCCTGTGTTTCAGAGTTTTGCTAGATCCATCCAGTGTAAATGGCTACTCTGCCATGAATGTGGTGAGAGGATGTGGCCTATGTTTGATGCAGTGCCACCAAAGTTCAGACTATGCTTCAGATTGGAACAATCCAGGGATCTTGTTTCAACTCAGTTCTGGTTCTTGCTGTAGGCCTTCCATACTCCCCAGAAGTCCTTGCCCAACCAGATGGATGGAGATGAGTCAAAGGTAGGTTCATTGACTCACTGAGATTTCAGTGTATCTCCAGCCTGGCACAAGCCAATGAACTGAGGATAACCTATTGCCTGTTTCAGAAGTCCCAAACATGGTATCCTCTGCTCCATTTTGGAAAATGATGGGGCAAAGGTGAGGGCACGGGTTTCATATTGGGTCACAAGGGATTTTCAAACCCCAGAGGAGGATCCTATGAGCACTGTGGGTGTTCCTTAAAAATGTGGGGCAGATGTCCAAGTAATATTGCTGGAAAAGTTGCAGTGGAGAGGGAGTAGATATCTAGGGCAGCCATACCATGTGACAGAACTACTGTCACTTGGTATGCCAAGCTAGCTTGCCTCTTCAGGAGTGGTGGAGAATGCTGCCCATTATCTGTGCTGAAGTAAGATTCCACTATTAGTCTACTGTAAGGGCAATGGGTGGGCAGCCATCTTACCATTCACCTCAGGTCAGCCCTGGGTATGTTTATGCACTTTTGGTGAAAATGGTGTTGCCAGGGCCCACAGTATCCAGGGTTCTGTGGAATGAATGTACCATAGAGGAGTTCTTATATGAACAAGGAGTCTGTTTGTCAGGAGGGGCATCCTTGAAAGTATGGTTGTGATGGAGATTCTCGGCTTTTCCTCCCTACTTCTGAACTTTTTCCATTTCACTGTGCTCTGCAGGTTTCCTGTCCTATGCCAGCACCCAGTGCCACTCAGCAGGAGCAGGAGCAGACCTGAGGAGCAGGAGCTGCTTCAGTTTTGTTTACAAGGAGCGGATTTGTGGTCACTGCTTGTGCTGCTCCTTAGCTTGGCCTTGTTGCTCAGTCTTTGTGGCCTTGTGGATGTCACTGTGGTCCTTTCTGTCCAGCTGTTGCTGTTTGACTGTCTGTCTTCCCTGTGAAATGACATCTGGGTAAATAAAGTTAGTTGGAACATCTCCTATGCTTCTCTGTCACATATATGTGTGTGGGTGTCACTTGTCCCACCAAGGCCATAAACTAAAGGGTGAGGAGAACTCAACAAGCTGGAAACTCTTGGCTTCCCATCCGTTGTGTGCTGATACATACTGTTATGTTGTCTGTGCAAAGAAACCTGCAGGACAGTCTTAGAAGGACTAAGGCCTTGGACACACAAGGGAATTGTTCTCTAGTTATCCCCCCAGTTATCCCC